TGTCATACTCTTTGCTCTCTAACATTGTTGAGTCTATTAGTAACACAAGGTAAGGTTACCACAGGAGGTTCACACCACCATGAACAGAAACCCCACCCTTTGCGTTGGTCTCCTCTAACACCCACCTTTGTCCGGCAATCCATTTACACCATGCAAGTGTAATACGCTAATAGGTGAAATTTGCTAATAAACCAGGGTGTGAGCACGTTATACCTACTTAGTATTCAGTTTGCTTTTATATAAATGATTTGGTAGAGAATCAGGCCCTCCTCTCTCTCTCTAGCTGACTCTCATCTGATTCTAATTCAATTTCTCTGCCTATTGTTTATTTCACCGCTCCCCTGTGAAGTGTCAAATGCTGATGTTCCGTCAGCCTAGAACTGTCGTTTATATTTGTCATTCAGTCCTTGTTAAAAAATAAAACAGGACTGCGCCTGCCTTGGAGCGCTCTGCCTGGGAATTCCCTGTGGTAAAATTAGTCCATTTAGATGGAAAGTTTTGTGTCACTCCCCTGTCTAAATTGGCAGATCTGGCTCTTTTGCAAAAACCAATAAACTGTGAACCTTGATGCATCTGTCAATCAAACTCATCTTTCGTGAGCAAAGCCAGATGACAACAAAAGCTGGGCAGGCTCCTCCGATTGGTTCTTCTCATTTAGGCATATCAGGAGGCACCTGTCACTCCTCTGGCTCAGCATCGTGCTCAGAGGGACTCCACGGAGAGAAGAAGCCTTACTGGGGGCTGGGTTGGGGCTGGGATGGGAAAGGAGGAAGGGGGAGGTTACCCTCCTCACTTCCAACGCAACCTGCAGCTCGGTTCTTTGCTCACAGCTCTGGTGAGAGGCAAGGAACTGGCATCACCTTTTGTTGTGGACATGTTTGGGTTTTTTTTTTTCACATCTTAAGTAAAGGCTTTGATTTCTTAAACTATGCAGATTTTCTGGTCGTTAAAAGGATGTTGCTGGAGAGGTAAATGTGACATGCTACATCCCTGGGGCTCTGGGGACTGAGCCACAGTGGCACAGAGGAGAGAGTGGACATATTCCAAACCCCTTTCTAAAGCTGCTGGGTGCACCCTGCCTATCTAGTTACCCACTGAGGAGAAGCAGAGAGGGTATTTCTACCTCTCTGCTAGGCAAGGAGGGGATCACAAACTGATTGAACAAGGCCTTGCATGTCAAGGGAAGCATTTTTTATAAAGGCATAAAAAAGGAAGAAAAATGGCAGCAAAGAGCAACAGCTCACACCATGGTGCTTGAGAGGAGCTGGGGCTCTTAGGAGTTGATGATACCTGTGGCAATGATCCCCAGAGAGATCAGATTTCAGGAGAAGTCTTCATCTCAACTTGTCCAGTTTTCTCTGGAAAATTCTGGACTCCGCTGTCTACACCAAAGAAGGGTGCCAGATTTTTATTAATTGTCTCTTTTGCATTCAGAAAGAGAATTTAACCTATTTTCTCAAAGTGTAATCATTTGCATATTTGCATTAGGTTGCCACTGAACCATTCATGAAATTTGTCCTTCCATGGAACTACTGCTTGTTGATGGATTTCTGTTGCCTCTTAAGCACCCCATCACAAACCTCACCTCAGGCTCCTGTATCTTCTCTTTCCACTTTGCTTTGCTCAGAACAGTTCTGCCATCACATCACACTGTTTGCAAGTACCAATGTAACCGTCTTGGCAGTGCAGTTGCCAGCCAGTTGTCTCAAAACCAGAATATGGTACGTAACATTCTCACAGTTGCCTCACAAGTTCTCACCAAAGTTTTGTGCTTTTACTCCAGTATCAGGATACATGATGTAAGATTAAAATCTCAGCCTTCCTTAAACAGTTGTGAGTTCATTTGGTTCGTTCTACCATCCCGTTTCAGTTACAGGCTCAAAAAAGACAAGACAAAGACCTTAAAAAAAAAGAGTGAAAAAAGCTCCTTATGTCATTTAAGCACAAATCGTTGTTCTTGCAGGTGGAGGAAAGCAATTCTTGCTTACTAAGTGCTTGAGATTTGCCAAACTGAGCATGCAAAGTACTGATTTTCATGTGAGAGATGAATTTGGTAAAACACTGACCAGGTGATGCTGGTTTACACTCATATACACGTATAAGTTCAAAATACAATCTGCATATCATTGTTTGGGGTCTTGAAAAGACTGCTGAAAGACAGCTTACAGCAGGCAGCTTCAGGGGTACTGAATGAATACAAAAAATAGCATAGCCACAAGCTACAGTCATGGAAAGAAACATTACCTATGTACTGTGGTTATGAACCATGTTACAACATCACCTAGAGATACTGAGACAATGACTCTTGTGTGTTATATACTGTACAAAGTAAGACATCATTCCTGTCCTGACCAACCTACTTTTCATTAGACAAAGCAGAGAGCACTAGACAATGCGAGTCATTCAATGCTGCTTACCTCATCATTGGCAGAAAGGGAATGACACACAAATCTCACCAGCCATGCCATCACACTGGATCCTCCTTCTTATGCAGGTATGAATACAAGCAAAGGGGAACATGACCAATTAGCCCGATTAGGAGAAGCATGCTGGAAAGCAATCACATTCTGGGAAGAGACAAGAGGTGGCTGCTCAGACCCACCTCACTGACGTGCTTCAAAAAGTTTGCCAGATTCTTCAGAAAGTAAATGAAACAAAAGATAATGAATCTTCAGCACAGGTTTTCTACTTGCTGCATCCTTTTCTGGCAGGGGAATACATACACATAACATACAGAATGTCTAAGCAAAAGAGCTGGAAAACGCTGTCAGAAAATAGAGAAACTCTAGGATGTTACATAATGGAAAGAAAGTGCTAACAGGTAGCTCACAGAAGCACACTGATAACCCAAAGAAGGGCCATAAAGTGATTACTATAGGGAGATACTTGGACAAGATTCCCAAAAGCAGCTATGTGAAATGTAACCCAAATTCAGGGATCTAACCAAACACCACAACTTTTCCAAATGACCAGCACTTCCCCAGTTCATGAACCTCTGTGCTTGTTGCAGAAGCACTCAGGAGTGGAGTGAGATTTCCTTCCGTGATTTATTGCTACCCCAGCACTCTACTTCGAGGATTCACTGCCCATTGACCTTAAGTACCTGGCCAGTATTCTGAACCGCATAATCTTTCGTTATTTGGGTTCACACTTGTCAGAATATTCCAAAGGCTCAGTTTCTACAGTTGTGACCAGCTCCTCAAATGGCTCCAAATGTGAACTAAGCATGTCCATATATACAGCTCAGTATTTTGACCAGGAGACTTTGAGAAGTGTTTGGGACTCTCAGCTCTCCATTACACATTGAGCTTTTCTGAAAATGTTTGTAACAACAACTGCTTCAGATGTGTCTAATCACACCTCAGCTTTAATTAATGAATTTGTTTTACCTTACATTTCCTTTGGAAGTCCATGAGGAAAAAATCTTCCCCTGCTCTTCTACCAGCTAGGATACATACTGGCCATCCAACTTTTTTTTTAAGTTTTACTATAAAGCAGCAGGAACTTAAATTATACCCTGTGCTCCAACTATTCCACTGTGCTCCCCCTTCTGTCTGTACCAGGTGATCACTCTCACTAGATGAAGGTTATTATTGTCTGTAGCAGGAATTCTCTTACTGCTTTGTGTTTGCACAGCAGGTGATGTAGTGGGCTCCTGGCACACACCAGAGGTCTCAAAGAGCTACCACAAAGTAAACTGTAAACAGCAAAACATATTTTTTTTGTGAAGGCCACAAAGTACCACTCCTGGGAAACATCCTGGTGATGTCAAACATTTCTTCTCCTTGGAGACAGCTTCTCTGACTTCCCGGAAAATCCCACTCTGAGTGAAGGGGCCACATGAGACGTTCCCGCCAAAAGCAGGGGAGAGACAATGGAAACAAAACTAAAGGGAACTCAGAACAGACTTTGATTCTGGAAACTTTGCACACCTTTACTGATATCTCCAATACTGTCTTGTGTGCCTTCACAAACCAAGAATGAGCACAAACATCAGCTGCACCCCTAGAAGAGAGAGAGACAGCAGAACATTTGAGACCCATGGTGAAGGATGTGGCGGGGGAAGGCAGATGCTTATGTGGGTATATCACAGGGCTGGCCTTCATCATTTTTGTGTTCCATTCAAAGCTGACTAGGAGGAAAGGAGACAAGGCTTTTTGGAGTCCTTCCTTCTGAGTGAGTCATACATCAGTGAAGGTGCTAGGTTTGTGTCATCTCTGAACTACAAGGGCTGTAACACAGGAAAAGCAAAATTGTTGATATATCTCTTCCCTTGCGCAGCCACTCAGAATACAGAGAAGTCAAGAATGGACTATTTGATTCCATATGCACAGAACTCCATGTGTGTTTTTTAAGCAACATGTATCTAGCTCAGTTAATCCTACAATATTGGTATGACAGGTTACTTGTGCCCTGCTAAAGACAAGAGATGTACAAATATCAGTGAGAATATGTCAGTTCTGCTTATGACTGATTATCCACTTGGCTGGGAGGTTAGTCCCCTGAATTTCCTTCTACATAGCCAGACTTGGTTAAAGACTAGTGCCACCTGTAGCAACATATTGAGGACTCCTGCTTCTCTCCCAAGATCAGACACTGGTGGTGTCTCTTAGAACGCCTCCATTGGGATCTTTAGGAGCAACAGACTTCCCACAGCTTCAACAGGAATCAGAAGCACACAGAAGGCATGCAGGGATCTCTATCTTCAAACAACCACAATAGTTCTTTAAAGTCTCACACGACTACAGAAAGCTCTTGTTTCTGATCAGACCATCTACAACTTTCGGTAAACTTCCAATTCAGATTAATCACTACATAATGAGGCAAAGCATTATCATCACTATTAGAACCCTAAGTATACAAGGATTTTTATCAAGTTCTTTTGGGCTCCAGGCAGAATTCTTAATAGTACCATTCACTCGAAGATCCTTCCAAATTCAAATCCCTTTCATGTCTTCTGGACTTCTCTGTTCTGTTTTACAATTATGTCATTTTCTTACCTTTATCTGTCCTCCATGTGGTCTGTTGCTGAGCTGCTAAATGCATTCTTTGACCTCTACATCCCCTGGTGTCAGGAAGACTCTTAATTGGAATTCATCAAAATGGCTCTTGAACACTCCCCAGAAGGCAAGCCAGAGGCTTCCTTTGCAGAACCAGACCCTGCAGGTCACAAGAACACAAGAAAAAGATGACATTTGATTACATTACAAAGCAGCAAATTCAAAGGTTATTAAAATTCTTCCCCAACATTTTGTATTTTGACCAACTGAATTTGTAACCACAGGGAGTTAGGAAGATTCCAGAGAAGACTAAAAAGTTTTATATGTATTAAAAAATTATCCAGAGTTATGATCATTCAACAAGCATTCTGGAAAGATATGAACATTAATGGGATTAAGCCAACCTGCAGATTACTTGAGCTCCTAACAAGCTGCAGGTGCTTCCTGTGCTTACCCACTGCACAGTTCTGCCTCCCTCTTAAGAATATGTTGAGTCTACTGCTCAAGATGGTATACCAGACAAAATATGAGCTGTGCCCAGTCTCACAAGTCCTATATTCCTAAATCCACAGATTTAGCATTCAAAGTGCGGAAACTCAGTCTGCAACTCTGGCCTACATTTCTAATCACAGCCACTGCTGCAGGAGTTGCATATTGAATAATGTTTAAGTCATCTGTCTTGCCACATTAGTTACCTATTATACCCTGGTTAGTTCTGAATGTAACCGGCTTGGAGTTTATTTTGGTCCATTTTGTCTCCACTATTTCATGCAGACTTCACTTTTCATTGCCTTTTCAACTACAGGAGTTTTTCATCTCCATTTCACAATGCAGGAAGATTTGTATTGTTTCAGGGTTTACTCTCTCTTCCCTTTTTAAGGATTTTTTTAATAAAAATGCTTGTGTTTCTGTCCCAAAGGTTCATTGACACAAGTGAAAATATGCCCATTTACTCCATTATTGTGTCCTATGTCATGTTCACCTGACTGGCTCGGGTCAATTTGATCATAACCATTTTTCTCAGAAGTTTGATTTGCCTTCTGTATCCACTACTGTCAAGCAGAAGTCTGAAGTCAAAAGTTACACTTATGTAAACAGTGCGTAAGTGAAATTGGAATTAGGCATTGACTTTTAAGACAGCAGTTTTCAAGTTCATTGCCACAGCTACCCTGAAGGAGACTCCTAGTGCACTGTGATCATCTTGTCTGCCCTCTGACACAGGCTACCCATAGGCTGCTTTGAATTACTGCTACAGGTCCAATAGCTGGGATTGAGCTGGGGGAACCTGTTACTGAGGAACATTTGCTACCAAGTACTAGTAAATACAGTGAACCCAGCTAAAATACTTTGGCAGGTGACTACTTGCACTGTTGGAAATATGTGCATTATTTCTGGTTGCATTTACCTACTGTCAACTTACAGCTGCTGAAACCTATCATATCTTCGTATATCGTGTTGCAGAACTTTTGCTACCAAACTGTATGTTCTTACTTTTGATTCATATTTATAAATTATAATACTACTGATCTTATTTTTAATGAGGAAAAAAACCCTTCATAACATATATTTAGGCTTCATGTCTGTGTGGAGGCCCTCTTTTTATAAAAAGACACTTAACTCTTATGTAAGCACCTTCTCATTAGCAATCAACAATGTTTCTGTTCTGTGGGATCATAACCAGCATCCAAAGATGCGCCCAGCTCAGGCTGGTCCTTTCCAAGCACCACACACTTCTTTCAAGTTTTCTGATTAAGCTCTGTTTGCATGACTTACATGCAACAAAATCACTGCTCAGTTATTATTGCCACCATTGGCAATTTGTGTATGTCAGTTCCTATACACATTTTGTTGTTTAAGCTACAACTTAAAAAAAACTTTTGTTGTCTTAAACTACAGCAAAGAGCAGGTCCTCTCACTCAAATAACTTACATTTTAGGATCCCACATAAAAAAACTGCAACACTCATGTTTCCTTCTTAAACACCCTACTTCAAGTCACAACTGTTATTTATATCTGCTCATCTCCGGTGGGAATATTTCTAGGTTTGAACCCCTGCAGTACAGATTTATTGAGCTGAGTAACTACAATGGAAAACTGTTACAAAAGCCTTGAAAAGAAGCTGCTTCCACCATTTCCTTGGAGTGATCATATGAAAAGAAGGAAAATAAAAGTGTATGAAAATTAATTTTCCCTCTATCCAGTATGGCTTTACTTGGTTGTCACTTCCTGTACACTCACTCTTAGTGCAATAACTTCAACTGGCTTTCTAGTTGGCAGTAAACCAGTAAACTTAGTGGCCCTAAAAAATAGTCTCTCACAAATCCTCTGCAGTTTGATTGTGCCAGTTCCCTATTTCCTACATCTCCTCACCCTACCTGCTCCATTTTAGCACTCCAGAAGATCTGATGCTCAGATGTTCTCAGGTAGGATTCAGGCTAGAAGTTTCACCGAACCCAGGGTAAAACCAAGAAAGACAACCCTAAAGAAGCAGTCAGTCTCCCCTGTGCTCAGTTGCACAATTTTTTACCTGGTGAGAATTATATTTACATTTGCATTGTATCTGACTGAACAAACTAAGAGAGAAACCATCTACCACCACATTACTTGTGTTTCACCACCTCTAGCGTGGGTTTTGCTACTAAAATTCAGTTCTGCCTCCAGACTGTTTACGATATGGACACTCATTTTGTCAACTGGATTGATAACACCTTCGGTCCTAAGACAAAGATGATGACTGAATGCTGGAAAACTGAGCCATAGGGCTCCGAGAAACAAAGGCAGCTCCTGCTAGCCTGCAGCTAAAGGCTCAGGATGGTAATTTCAGGAGTGCCAAGCCCTGACTTAATGTTGTTCCCAGTGAGATAACGTTGTGAGACAGGTTAGTTTAACCCTACTGATGATGTGTTGTTGCAATAGTAATCCTGCTCAGTACGAGAGGAACCGCAGGTTCAGGCCCCTGGTGCATGCATTTGGCTGAGGAGCCACTGGCATGAGGTTACCATCTGCGGGCTTATGACTGAACGCCTCTAAGAACCCGCCTAGACACTTGTGCTATTGTGTCATCGGTCGCTTGTGATTGACCTAGGAGTTGACAGTCTTGTTCAGAATGCACGGGTAAAGGTCTTCCTGAATCTTCGTTAGTGATGACAGGCCTTCCTCATAGGAGAAGGAAAACTCCTATCTTCAAACCTGGGCTGCTGGAGCTCGCCTAGCCTTGTACGGTCTTCCATCAAAGAGGAGAACACTCTTACAAAACCTACGACCTGTGGACTTTGCTGTCACCATCCTAGCTAACTAGGCCATGGCAGTTAAACCTCAGGTGTAAAGGGAGGGGCCAGTTCTGCGCAAGCTGCTCCTCACCTAACAAATCCACTGCGCAGGCTGGAAGGGCTCACTCTCACTTGTCTGTATGGACGGGCGAGGGTGGAAACTGCAGGGGACAAGGTGCATGGGAAGCTGCAGATCCAACGCTGCATGTGGGGGGACCAGCGCATGGGTAGCTCGAGTTAGCTCAGGAGTTGACAGTCATGGTTGGACACTTCCTGATTGCCTAAGCAGCCTTTTTTTCCAACCAGATTCGGATATCCCACATGCCCTTGGTCATCGTGCTTGTAGTGAGCGTGGTTAAAGCCCTTCCCAAATCTTCGCTCGCGAAGCCAAGCCATCATCAAGGAGGAAACCTACTAGCAACTCTTCCACTGATCTCAGCATTGAGTAGTCCAGAATATTGCACTCACAGTGTAGGGAAGGCTGGGAGAGGACACAGGTGAAAAGATACTGATGAAGACTACCCTCTACACATGGATGCCACCAACATTTCACAGACATACCTCCCTCTGATCAAGTCTTTAGTACACTTCTTTAGGTCACTCAAAGTTTCCTGGAAAAGGCATCAATTTAAGAATTTATTTAATCTTTATTCAAACACTTTTGTTTCATTCAAACTGAGTTTCTTTCTGGCTTTGGCTGGTTTTAATGTTATCCATAGTGCAGCAATGATCACCTAGGTTGCACTGACTAGAAACTGAATCCATACACCAGAGTCATGACATTTAAATGACATGCAATTACAATATACTTTTAATTATTTTGGGAAGTCCCTCATTGTCCCTATCTTGGATGATGTGAAATGTTGTCTTTGATGAGGTGAGATCACCAAAGGAACATATGGGACCAGGGACCTCCTTCTGACCCATACTGAGGGGAACTGGGAACCCAAATCACTGATGTTGTTTTATAAGATGTGATCCCTTCTTGGCTGTCCTTGACTAGTAGACACAATGGCAGATACTAACACATTGTGAGGTGCTGGACACCACTTAATACCTACTGAAACAGTATTTGGGGCACATATCAGCATTTTGAGGGTTAGCCAGATTTGTCCCTCACTTCCCACGCACTTTAGCATGATGGAGAAGGAGATGTGGACATTGCATACGAAGGCTTCTGGCTGAGTGCCAGAGACACCAGATAACTACTACCTTTTACTGTTGGCTCTTTTGGGGGGTTTTGGTTGTTTGGTTGGGTTTCTTTTTTTTCCTCTTTTTTTTTTTTCTCCCAAGCCATGGTGCAAACTGTGGAAAAGCAGCATCCTGACTCTCATCATGAGACAAGTGGCACTCCCTTCATCTCCACTTCTCCTCATCCCTCTTGAGCATTAAACATCACACTGAGTTGGACCTGAGGGAGCCAAAGAGGAACAGAATTTTTCCTCTCTCCTTCATTTTATTTTTTTAAGCAATCTCCTCCTCTACCTCCCCTTTCTTCTACTCCTCTTCTTCATCCTCCCACCCACCCCCACCCTGTCCATCTCCCCTCATCCCACTCAGACACCACTCCCCCCCTTTCCCGGTATCCAACACTGTCAACCCAAACACATGATAAATTGCCCTGTCAACAGAATTCATTCAGGGACCAATTAATTCTACAGAAATGAACCAGGAGCCATCAGTTGCTGAAAAACTCCAAGTGCAGGGAGCGAGGAAGCTGGCTTTGTGAGTGAGAGAGTGAGAGAGAGAGAGAGAGAGGCTTGGGAAGTTAGTCTGACAGAAATTGGTCATTTAATGCTTAAGTGCACCGTAGACAGCCCTGTCATAGCAGCCAGCATGGCAAAAACTCCCCCAGTGCTTTATTTATTAATTATGTGGAGCAGCACGGGGG